AAGCAGTGGTATCAACGCAGAGTACTGGTAGTTACCATACATAGAGTTTTTTTCTGATAATCTTGATTTCTTCTAGAAGGAACTCAAAGAAATGATGCAGTGACTTAGCTCTTTGTAAAAAAAAACTTATAGCTTCACAACTAGCTAGATTTATAAACACTGAACAGGAACTTTCCACCTGATCCAACACATACACAAGGAAGAAGCTTTTGCTGTTAAATAGACCTTAGGTATACGGTAGGCAGCAGTAGCGTGGTGAAAGCATGCAGATACTTTAGCCTAACTGAAAAACTGTCTACCGTATACATATTGTAACTAAGGCCTTCTCAGACAATTGACCGTAAGTTTGCTGGTCATTCTTGAAACGAACATCCGCAGCCCTTTATGGAAAGTGCTGCGCATGACTCCGTTTTCAATCAGTGTGGCGTCAAATTCCTGCGGAAGTTCGTGTTTTCCGCGATTGAACTTCTATGATAATTTACATAATAACTGAAACCGCTGCAAATATGTTGTGTTCGGTGGAAGTTCCCTTTGGTTGTCTGAGTTGTTTATAAGGAAATGAGCGGCGCTAAACTGAATTATCTAGATTCTGAGTTCTGTAAACAAAGACATTATTCCGCTAATCTTGCGGTAGCTGTTGGTGAGCTGTGAAGTAGTTTCCAAAGCTTAGCTCGTCATCTTGAAGTATCTTTATTGGGTAGAGATTTAGAGCTTAGTAATCAGCGTATACTGTAATACGAAGCCAAATTGCTGGTGATGAGACAGCAATGGTCCACAAATTTATTGCAATGTTGCCAGTCGAAGTGAGGACTGCGGAAAATGCGTCCACCATCCATTGTCCCATTTTACCGTACAGCACAACCTTGATTTTACCTACAACATTTCCAAATTGATAACTGCTGAATGTCCGCCGTTTTCTGCCTCAGTTTTTAGGCTGTCAGTCACTTGAAACGATTTCGAGAAATGCGGAGATGATTTGGTTTATTTAAGTGATCCATGGCCTTGTGGAGTATTGCATGAGCGAAGTCCGGCCCCTGCTTTCGCGATCTGGCAAAGCCCTATAATCAAATTTTGAAGAGAACGAAACCAAAAAGAGGATCCTCAACGCTTTGAATCTGGATTCATTATTCGGAATTAGGATGAACATAAGTCGATACTCAGAGCATTATATGATGTTCACGGTGGAGTGGTATCAACGCAGAGTACTGAAAATTATTCTGTAAATTGCTACATTCAATCTATGCTGGGATGACAATTTGAAGTATTCGAATCACTGTGAAATGATGAAAGTGAATACAGTAATGGTTCGAGAGCAGCCTTCACAAACGATCTTAGATCTCCGGACAATCCATGCTGAATGGTAGTTGACGCGAACATCTCAGAAAGTACGATTCAGTGGTGGGTCATACATATTTTGGTTTTTTGTCGTCTTTACGATGAATTTCTCGGGGGAAGTGTGGAGACTTTTGAACCGCTTCCTAGAAGACTAAAATTTAAAGCTTTGAGACCCATATACGGGTCATTCTAAGCTCTGGTCCAAAATAATAGTTGAAAAAATTGCTTGTTCTATACGTGTTAAGCACTTAAACACTTAAAACAGGTTTCCTTTGTAAAAAAAATGTCCTTACTCTGAAAAAAAAAAGATCAGGTACCTTTTTGCGTAGATATGAAAGTTCGGCTGATGAGCAATGTACGATTATTCAACCTTTCACTTCTAACGAATAGTTTAATTTTATTTTTCCGGTGTATTCAGAGATCTCTCTGCAGTTGCCCAGCGCAGGCAAGGCAGATTTTATCTTAGTCTATAGAAAAGCTGGGATAGGGACAGAAATGCAACAGTGCACCATTGCTCGTCATAGAATGGTTTTTTTCCTAACATAATGAAGAGTAAAAAATCTTTTGGTTAGGTTCGCACCCTTTTCCTGGAGTCTTGCGATACAGAAAATTTCAGCGCTTTTTTTCTGGAATTTCAGTGTCATTTGGTTGTTCACAACGCAAATCTGCGCATCTTCCATGACTCATATGTCGATTTCCTTCAGCTTCACGTGGCCGTCAACATGGTAGGTTTTATGATTGTGAAAGGAATTTAAAATCAAAAACAGTACTGCTCTTTTCCTTGTTTTGCAATGACTACTTGAATTATGTCAGCTGGCTACTGTCTAAATTTTGACAATTGCTGGAACTGAAAGGTTTTTGCCATGTAAGAAAAAGTCGATTATTTGTACTAAACTCTTATGTCTCTGCAAAAATGCATGCGTTTGAATGGAAATTTTTTCTAAAATAATTTTATACCGTCGTATCTTTTTTGAGGGCTGTGGGCGGACCGATTTGCACAAATTGCTCTGGAGAACTGGAGAAATGTCTGTTTCCGAAATCTTCGAAGTCGCGAGATGGGACACTAAAGTATGAGCAGGGTTGAGCAAGAGGTCAGGCACAAGTCTTTTCAAAACGACCCCCCCCCCCCGGGGAAAGCCCCTAAACGACCCCTCTGCTTCACCTCCAGGACCTCAGTCTGTGATAATTCGAAGAGATCAGCCGTTTTTGGGAGGTTCTTGTTTTTTGGAGGTCTGTAGGTCGACTTTCTGCGATTGCACAGCACACGCAACTTGACGGCAAGTTTTGGATTTTGGATAGCCCTACTTTTAGAGCTATAATTCCCACAGGGGTGTATTGTTTGGCTCCAAATTTGCAGTATTGCGAGAAGAGGCTTTGAGTTCAATACTCATAGCAGAAGTGGAGCGATTTCTAGATTTTGAAAACAAGTTAATCGGGTCAGGCGCAACCCCTCAAAAGCTCAGGCGGCCTGACCTTTTGTGGGGTTGCGCCTGACCCGATTAACTTTATCATTGAAGAAGCTTTTTTATTCAAGTTTTATGTGAATCGCTAGCACAACCCTCGAAGATTCTACAGTAAGTGTTTGGACTTTCTTCGACTTGTTTCGGCCTTGTGGTAATCCGTGGAGTTGAAGCAGTCATGGCGAAAAACGCGCCGGTCGGAATTTTGGCATTATTTCTTACTCCACTATTTGCAAGCGATACAAAGCGCGATTTTTAGCCTAGACTAGTAAGGAACAATACTTTGTTACGAGTACAAAAAAATTGACTTTTCTCACTTTTGAAAACAAGTTAATCATGTTTGAAAATCACGCTTTTTAGTCGTTGAGAAACACTAGATAATGCAGTAAATAATGCTCAGACAGCGGATAGGACCCCTCCGCCGGAGAAATGGCAGGGTCGCGGCGTTTCCCCAGCGGTGGGTCTCCCATTTGTCCGGCGGAGCCCTCCCATTTCTCCGGCGGAGACCTCCCATTTCTGCTCCGGATACCTCCCATCTTCTGCTCCGGATACCCCCCATTTTCTGCTCCGGATACCCCCCATTTTCTGCTCCGGATACCTCCCATTTTCTGCTCCGGAGCCCCCCGATTTTGTGCGCCGGAGCCCCCCGATTTTGTGCGCCGGAGCCCCCCGATTTTGTGCTCCGCAAGTCTGCCGCGGCATACTGTAATTAGCCCTAATTAAAGGCAGCTTCCAGGCAGATCTGGACCTATGGGGCTTTTACATGGAAAGTATTTTTGGGGCCCTAACTAAGGCACTGCCGAAGCAGCAGCTCAGGTAGTGTAATGGCGGAGATATTCCCCTCGAAACAGACCCCCCGCGAACGTATTCGCATGGATTCATGGCAGTTTCGCGCCAGGATCCACGCTTTGCGCCATGAATCCATGCGAAACACGGTCGCGGGGTCCGGTTTCGAGCAGAATATCTCAGGCGTTAGAGCACTACTTGAGCTGCCGGTTGGGTAATGGCTTAGTTAGGGCCCCAAATGTACTTTCCATGTAAAATCCCCATAGGTCCAGACTTGCCTGGACGCTGCCTTTAAGCTCCAAACCCCAATTTTGTCTCTAAACCCCACCCAAATAAGCCGAATAGGACCCCCCCCCCCCCGGGTAGGAGTTTAGCGCGACCCTCACCCCGTACTCTACCCCCTCCCTCTCACTCCTAGCGTTTGTGGATAGAAGATAGAAGAAAGAACGAAGAGATAAGACATTTATTTCAAATTTTTCAAACTTTCGAAAAATCTATCTATCTATCTCCAGCATACGTACAACAGTTAATTCATATTACAAAAACCATACTAGGAGTTAGAGATAAGAATATTCAAAGAAAAACTAATTTCCTAGTTGCAAAAAGAACCTTGTAACACCACAGTATAAGCATATGGTTTTAACATGGTAAGAAAATGACAAAAAGATCAAAAAAGCATTCTGTGCAACATGAAACAAAACAGCGAGGAACGCCATAAACTCACATTTGCAAAGCAGGGACATATTGTCCAAGTTCGATATATACATGAGCTATATTCATCCAAACATCTTCGAATTCCGAGGTAGCTTCACGAACTTGAGCGAAGATGTCACGGGCATCTTGCCACATTGCTTTCGATGCTAATACGCAGCCTAAACCAAAACATACGGTTTTTGATCGAAAAAGAAGTAGAAAATTAGTCATTTGTTCCGACACGAAACGTACCTATTCCATTTGCTGCCCAGATGTTTTTTGGCTCAATTTTCAACGTCTCATGGACCCCAAATCATTTTCAAAATCTCATGGACCCCATTTTGGGTGATCGGTGCCTTTGACCACAAATCACATCAGAATGCTAACTCACTTCACATGAACAATGGGTAGTTTCCACCGAACTACTCGTGCTTTTTTGTCATAATCCTCCAGCCATGCTCGTTTGATCTTCTTCACGTCGACATCGCAAAACGATACAACGCGTTGTTTATCACTTTCGGAAAGGGACCTCGAAACTGATTCACCTTTGGGCATGTAAGAGCGCAGATTCCACCTCACTTGAAAAATCGCTTTCCTTGTTTGCCAGCATTCCAAATTGTGAATGTTTTCCAGAAAGGAAGCACATGACTGCAGAAGCGACTAACACGCATGTTCCATATAGCAGCTTCGGAAACACCAAAAGAAGCAAATCCGGAGTGATAACGATAGTTCACTAGGGGTTTACATACCTGAAGAGACGAAAGCAATATATAAGCATTACGGATTTGCAAATAACGTACTTTAGAGAATGCAACATCACCGATGTCTAATGCACGGTAGAAAAAATCGAGATCTTCGGGAAACCCAAAGCGCACGTCGTCTTTGAAACCGCCTACCGCAGAAAAGAGTTTTCTTGAGATGAACCATGTAGGAGCTATAAGAGTGGGCCCATGCGACGTATACACCTAAAGTAGAAGCACATTCAGCACCGATGGGCAACAACAAGATTGCACGATCCGAGATTATACCTGCAATTTCAATTCTTCGTTTGTCAAATCATTGGTCCATTTAGTATAGCGTTCAGTGGATCCTTCCGGTATTCTGGTGAAGTTACTACCTACGCAATGGGCAAAGTGATACAGCTGTACAACATCTAACAAGAAAAAATAAATCAAGGTTGTAATGGGATAAACGGGTTTTATGCGAAATCTCAAGAATTTGCCGAGGTCACATGTGAGATTGTGCTTATTAGAAGACCCTTATTCAAGACGAAGAAAGTTGAATTTGGACAAGCTCACCAATAAAAACCAAATCGCTCCTCTGAGAAATCGCCAAGTTGTACTGTTCCTGTAATCTGCTTGGCTCCGAAACATCATCCGCATCACAGAAACAGATAAACCGTCCAGAAGACATTTTTACCGCTTGGTTCTTCGCAAAGCCGACACCTACCAAGATGAAAAGACTTGATGCGAAAGCCGTTTCGTCTATTATTACTATAAAAACGACAAAACTTAAGGTACCTCCACTTTCCGTGCCACTACGTATTCGAAAACCAACATTTCGTTCGTGAAACCTTGATATAAGTGATTCGGCATACGTTACAGTCGAGTCAGTGCTGCCATCGTTGTACATACAGATCTAGAAAAGTTTAAAGGTAATTTACCAAGCACCGTTGACGCATACATACTAGTGGCTCTCCCAAAATTTTTTGCGGGGGGAGGGAGGAGACGAAAAATTTTCGGTCATGACGTGGTTCAGTAAATATTCGTGCACTCCAAAAACCTTTGCGAGACCGTCACCTTTTTTGGTTTTTATTTTGGAGGTTTCGCAACAGTCATTTCACACTGAATTACTAAATTGTGTTTACCTTTCTGTGCATATTAGTGATTTAGCTTTTGCAAAGGCGGCACGCACCACGCCCCTTCACAAAACTTTCTTTATCCTTCTTCACTCCCTCCACTCACGGTTAGTAAAATTCCAATGTGTAGTCTGTCCCTTGTTATGTGCTTGTTTTCATGACAGCAAAAGAACGTCTTAAAAGTAGAAAGACAGCTCACCTCCCATTTTCCCTCGAAGTTCTGCTGTAGCAATGAATCCAAGCACTCCTTCAGGTAGGGCATTCCATTCTTGACAGGAATTACTACCGACTAGAATGTGCAGTGATGGTCTACAGTCCATTACATACAATTCTGCATCTCACACTTTGCAACAAAAGGCGAAAAAAAAATCCCCAATGGTGACTGTTGTATAGACCTCGACACGATACCCATTTGACATCGTGCGTCAAAAATGCGTACTTGATGTAAAGGCGGTGTACACTACTTACCTCAACCTGTAATTAATATTTTTTCAACTTGTACTTCCTCCCCATCTCTCTGGAGTTGGGAAAATGACTGAAGAAAGTATTGGTAAAACTGACTGATTTTAAATATCACTACTCGTACTGAAATCTTAAATCATGGGGGTTATTTATCATGCTGATTCCGAAAATGGTACTCATTTTGCTCGATAGTCGTTTATTTTAGCTGCAGCAGCTGCCCGTTACTGAACAGAATCGCTTAGATTCTGTTTAGTTTGTTTTGCACAAGTTAAAAGATGATACTCATTTCGCATATCATCTATTCTATGAATGGGAGACTCGAGACTGCTGTGCACATAATGTCTAAATAATGGTAGAACTTGCTCTTCCAAGTTTCCAAGTCATAAAAATACCTTCAATTTGAAAGATTAGTTTGAAAAAAATTTACCAAACATCATACATTACCTCTTACGCGCTCGAACCTACGATAGCATCGAAAGCCCAGTGAATGTCAGAAGTGATAAAAGTAATTGGAATAGGCAATCTAGAAACATCGGTAATCACGTGAGTAATCTGGAGAGACAGCCTCCTTACCTCTGACCTGCACTTCCACTTGGCACATCAAATAACTCCAAACTTAGCTATGGGGAATCGATGAACGGCTATCAAGCAAAATGAGTACCATTTTTGGAATCAGCATGATAAAGAACCCTCACGATATAAGATTTCAGCACGAGTAGTGATAATTAAAATCAGTCAGTTTTACCAATACTTTCTTCAGTCATTTTCCCAACTCCAGAGAGATGGGGAGGAAGTACAAGTTGAAAATATGTACACCGCCTTTACATCAAGTACGCATTTTTGACGCACGGTGTCAATTGGGTATCGTGTCGAGGTCTATACAACAGTAACGGACATCGCTTCTTTGAACCACACCGATGATTCATAAATCTGCCCTCGATCGCGTGCAAGACATCCGAGACGTAGATAACCTTTGCACTATGATGCACTAGAATGAGTGCACAGAATGTTAATTTGAAAAAACTTACAATCCGTGTAATTTTCTTGTTCTCTCAAAATGCCTTTGTATAAAACTTCAGCGTCTTCGAACAAGCACAAGTGTTCCAAACATCTAGCGAGGTTGTATCTCATAGTGATGACATAGGAAGAAAGTTTCGAATCGCACAGATCTCCCTCCAAATCTTCCTGTAACGATCGAAGAGAATGAGCGAAGCTAAGCACATGCAACTTACTTGGAGCTTAGCTTCCGCTGCTTCGAAGTACTCCTTCGCCCTTTCATAATTTTCCAAAGTCATGTGCAAGGCTCCGATATTGTTTAAGATAGCAGCTGGTGGATCAATTTGTAAACCACCTTCACTCGTTTTTATGAGATCACAAGCATTTTCATAGAGAGTGAGCGATTTCTAGAAGAGCCGGTTGTCAAAACTCGTAAAATGTAATTGATGATGTAAACTAACATGCGGATCAACTCTTTCCAGAAGCTGAGCAAGATCTATCAAAACTTCAACATCGTTTGGAGTTGCCTCTAAGACTTTTGTCAACATATCTCTTGCCTTGTCCTGTCTTTCAAGCCAAAAACGATATAGTGAGGATCTGCAACGTCTAATGAAAAGTCGATCGACTTGGTAAGCATACGTACGAGAGAGATAGCAATAAACGGATAATTTAGACGATACTTTAATCACACCAACACTAGATAGTTGCGCAACTAACCTCATTGTTTCGAAAATCCAGAATTAATCACAAAAACCACTCCATCAATAGTCTACGATGTCTCAGTAAATCGGAAAGAGCCAAACACTGAAGGTGATTGAGTGCAACCGCACGAAAATTTGAAACATAAACCTGAAAACGAGGAACTTACAACAACATAAACGCCAACGCGACGAAGAGCAACGCGGAAAAGAAAAAAAAACGGTAAAGAAACGCGCAAAAACAACAAAATCAAAGAAACGGCGACTAAAATATGGACAAAGAGCGTAAACAGAGGACTCATTACCGTGGAGTTAGACGTTTGCTTGCTACGCGCCAAATCGATACGCAGCCTGCTCCGGATACCTCCCATTTTCTGCTCCGGATACCTCCCATTTCTCCGGCGGATACCTCCCATTTTCTGCTCCGGATACCTCCCATTTTCTGCTCCGGAGGCCTCCCATTTCTGCTCCGGACCCCTCCCATTTTCTCCGGCGCGGCTCTTCCAAATTTGGCGGACACGCGCCGCGCAAATTTCTCCGGCGCGGAGTCCGCCAAATCTGGCAGAGTCGCGCCGGAGAAATGGCGGACCTTTGCAGCAGGGCCGGAGAAGCCTCCCATTTGCCTGCCAGTGATGTCACCGCGATGGACCGCCCATTTGCCCTTCTCTCATTGGTCAACTGGGTCCGGCGCGACTCTGGCAGTTTCGGAGGGTCCGGCGGAGGGGTCCCGTCGATTGTCTGAGTGGTTTGTAGGGCTCATAGAGGTAATTTGACGTGCTCGGAAATAATACCCATTTCACACAGCAAGCTTCCTTGATGAATTTATAATATGTCAAGGTAGAAGATGAAGATTTGAGTTTTGGCCGAAACTTCGATTGTGGAATCAACCAGTATGCTGTTTAAGACCGTTCATTCCTTCAGTACTGGTGAGGTCGCGATATCCACTAAACTAGCGCTTTTCTCCTTCACCTTAATCGTAGTATCTCCTCAATCAAACGAATTCGATTCCTAATCACGACCCCCCCCCTCTGTCTTACCCCAGTACGACCCCCCAGGTCGGGCGCGCCTGACCCCACGCTCAACCCTGAGTATGAGTATTGCTTGCCACTGAAGTATCAAATGCGCTTCATGAAAGGAGAAGTGACAACAAGAGTAGGCGCTATAGCACATCCTACTTCCTTTTCTGGAAAATCTTCTAGCATTTCCAGCCTTTTGGGAATGTCCCTGAGAATGGCTGTTTTGTGAGATGGAAGGATCCCTATAACCAGTACTCGATACACATACCAACGTCTGCATTGCGTTCAGCGAAGTAATACATTGTTTTCTGTTTTAAAGCCGTTCGTGATATGAACCAAGCTTTGTAAACTATATGTGTCTTCGGCCGCCCGGAAAATTTGAATGTATTTCAATAAATCATGCTAAATCATTTTTAGAATGTAAAACATTTGATCGATATCACCGAAGAAATTAGCTCGTCAATTCCCGAGACCAAAACCTGCAACCTAAAATCTAAATAATCAAATAACCAAGATGCTTGCGTTCAACTTTGCTTTGAGGAACAGGGACGATTCTGAGTGCAATTGCAGAATACTGAAGCAATCAACAACCTCTCAAAGGCAAACCATCCAGCTTTACAGTTTACTTGCTACTATAAAATGTAAACTTCTATTATTTGTGATATTCGCTCAGCTCTGCAGAGTGAAAATATCTAGAAAATGTTGCGTGATTTGAAAGAAAATTGAAAAAAAAAACTAGGCACGCAGCAAGATACTGATGTTATCTATCCGCAGTTGTGCGAAAATGATCCGAAATGATATTATGCTACGAAAAAAATGAACTTCGTGGTATGCGCACAGAAATGCAGAGCTTTGGAATGATTACACAGTCAAACTGGACAGATGTGGAAATGTTCATCAAAATTCTCCCCCAGTATTTGCAAACGTTTTTATTTTAAGAACGTACACAAGTTCTGTGCACGATACAAAATACTTGTATGATCTTTGACACGGACGCGCAGATGAGATTATTGACGAGAAATTTGAAGTGTTAACTTTAGTTACCACTCATGAAAATTGAGAAGAATGCTTGGTATGTACAATGAGCACCTGAACCCGACAAACAATTCCTTCTTTGCCTAATAAGCAGTTGAGCCAGCTCAACTGCTTATTAGGCAAAGAAGGAATTGTTTGTCGGGTTCATGTACTTGTACGTTCTTAAAATAAGCTACTTGAAATTGGTCTTGAAGTAAGGTTTCTTGCAAAGGGAAACAGAAATTAGTTGCTTATGATTATGACGCGCCAAAGGCCGGCAAAGTCCCATCGTCACCTCCCCGCGGTGCCGGCTGGCAACGGGGACCAACCCCGGCAAACGACGAGGGCACTGTCCCGCCAGGCGGAGCGACGCGCCGGGGACTGTACGAATCAGTCATGTCACATGCATCGGACTATTAAGGAATTTTGTCAAGCTGCTAGGGCGTCCCCCGGAGGCGACGCGCGTCATTGCCCGCATGGCGCGAATAGTGAGCTAGGGCTACCTGCCCCCGGACGAGGCAGGCCAAAGAAGCGAGTCCAGGAAATCCGACTAGCGACGATCAATATAGGAACGCTGACGAGCCGCAGTCGGGAGCTATGCGATAGGCTGAAGGAACGACACGTCGACATCGCATGTATACAGGAAACGAAATGGAAAGGGAGGCAGGCAAAGGACATCGGCGACGGATATCGCTTGTACTACACGGGAGATAGCAGCCGCCAGAACGGAGTCGCGATCATCGTCAACGGTAGATACCGCGAATTAGTAACCGAAGTGACGCGCATCTCAGATAGATTGATGGCGATGAAGATCGAAGCAGATGATGCCACGCTCCGAATAGTCTCGTGTTATGCCCCGCAAGCCGCATGTACCGAAGCCGAGAAGGACGTGTTTTGGAGGGACTTCGACATCCTGCTAAGGACATTCGACGCTGCAGACTACATCTTCGTAGGAGGCGATCTCAATGGGCACGTTGGCCACGAACACTATGGATTCAAGCGATACCATGGTGGAAACGGATACGGTCAGAGGAATGAAGATGGAGAACGCATCCTGGAAGCAGCAGAAGCACACGACTTGGCGATAGCGAATACATTTTTCAAGAAGCGAGAGTCACATTTGATCACGTACGCGAGTGGAGAGCGCTCAACTCAAATCGACTGCTGCGCCGATGCCACTTGCCAATGGTGATGAACGCGAAGGTTATACCCACGGCGACACATGCATTTGCGCCACAACACCGGTTGCTTGTATTGGATCTTCGACTGAACATCCACTTGCGGTCACGAGCCAGAAGGACGACTACAAAGAGGATCAAATGGTGGAAGCTCCCCGAACACCACCAGCAAGTCAGAGATGCTCTTAACGATTTGAGGGTGTCGACGGATGATAAAGAATCGATTGAAGAGCAGTGGAATCGGATTACTTCGCAGATACGGTCGAGGGCCGAGACAATCTTGGGAACCACCAAGCCAGGACGCCGGTTTGTAGACAAGCAGATCTGGTGGTGGCCTGAGTCAGTCCAGCAAGTGATCAAGGAGAAGAAAGAAGCTTTCAAAGCCTGGCAACGCTCACGCTCAAATGAAGACCTCCGTCGGTATCGAGAACAGAACTCAAAGGCGAAGCACGCGGTAGCCGAAGCAAAGGAAGCTCACTACAAGAGACTTTACGACGAGCTGGAAGGACCTGCTGGAGCGAACAAGGTCTACCGACTGGCCGCTGCACGACATCGAGCGAAGCAGGACATCGACCACGTCATGCACATTAAGGACGCAGAGGGCAACCTCCTGACGAAGCCGAGGGCAATACTCAAGCGGTGGAGTGAATACTACAAAGGGCTATTTAATGAGGAGTTCCCGCACCCGTTAATACCGCAAGGAGCCCCCACATATGGACCGGTATCCCGGATCGAGGAGGCAGAAGTTGTGCAGGCACTGAGGAAGATGTCTAGCGGAAAAGCTCCGGGACCCGACGACACACCTGCTGAAGTGTGGAAGATGATGGGGCAGCGTGGAGCGGCATATCTCACATCGCTCTTTAACCGCATTATCGTAGACGGACAGTTGCCGCGAATCTGGACTACGAGTGTCACAGTCCCTATTTGGAAGGAAAAGGGCGACGTCAGCGACTGTTCAACATATCGACCAATACGCTTGCTATGCCACACGATGAAGATCTTCGAACGAGTCATCGACGCACGCATTCGAAGTATAGTGGAGGTCACCCCGAATCAATGTGGCTTTGTAAAAGGATCTGGCACCATCAACGCCATCCACGCGGTACGATTGCTAATGGAAAGGCATTTGGAGAAACGGATTCCGATTCATTTCGCATTCCTGGATTTAGAAAAGGCATTTGATCGGATACCGCACGGGCTGATCTGGTATGCGCTGAGGAAACACGACGTCCCAGAAGAGTACGTTCGCTGGATCAAACTCCTCTATACGAACACGACGGGCGCCATACGCTGTGCAGTGGGAACGTCAACGCCATTCCCAATCCAAGTCGGAGTACACCAAGGATCGGCTCTATCACCGTTTCTCTTTATACTGTGCATGGACACGGTGACC